GACTATAGACTAGACTATAGACTAGACTATAGACTAGACTATAGACTAGACTATAGACTAGACTATAGACTAGACTATAGACTAGACTATAGACTAGACTATAGACTAGACTATAGACTAGACTATAGACTAGACTATAGACTAGACTATAGACTAGACTATAGACTAGACTATAGACTAGACTATAGACTAGACTATAGACTAGACTATAGACTAGACTATAGACTAGATCATAGACTAGACTATAGACTAGACTATAGACTAGACTATAGACTAGACTATAGACTAGATCATAGACTAGACTATAGACTAGACTATAGACTAGACTATAGACTAGACTATAGACTAGACTATAGACTAGACTATAGACTAGACTATAGACTAGACTATCGACTATAGACTAGACTATAGACTAGACTATAGACTAGACTATCGACTAGACTATAGACTAGACTATCGACTAGACTATAGACTAGACTATAGACTAGACTATAGACTAGACTATAGACTAGACTATAGACTAGACTATAGACTAGACTATAGACTAGACTATAGACTAGACTATAGACTAGACTATAGACTAGACTATAGACTAGACTATAGACTAGACTATAGACTAGACTATAGACTAGACTATAGACTAGACTATAGACTAGACTATAGACTAGACTATAGACTAGACTATAGACTAGACTATAGACTAGACTATAGACTAGACTATGGACTAGACTATAGACTAGACTATAGACTAGACTACAGACTAGACTATAGACTAGACTATAGACTAGACTATATACTAGACTATAGACTAGACTATAGACTAGACTATAGACTAGACTATAGACTAGACTATAGACTAGACTATAGACTAGACTATAGACTAGACTATAGACTAGACTATGGACTAGACTATAGACTAGACTATAGACTAGACTATAGACTAGACTATAGACTAGACTATAGACTAGACTATAGACTAGACTATAGACTAGACTATAGACTAGACTATATACTAGACTATAGACTAGACTATAGACTAGACTATAGACTAGACTAGACTATAGACTAGACTATAGACTAGACTATAGACTAGACTATAGACTAGACTATAGACTAGACTATAGACTAGACTATAGACTAGACTATAGACTAGACTATAGACTAGACTATAGACTAGACTATAGACTAGACTATAGACTAGACTATAGACTAGACTATAGACTAGACTATAGACTAGACTATAGACTAGACTATAGACTAGACTATAGACTAGACTATAGACTAGACTATAGACTAGACTATAGACTAGACTATAGACTAGACTATAGACTAGACTATAGACTAGACTATAGACTAGACTATAGACTAGACTATAGACTAGACTATAGACTAGACTATAGACTAGACTATAGACTAGACTATAGACTAGACTATAGACTAGACTATAGACTAGACTATAGACTAGACTATAGACTAGACTATAGACTAGACTATAGACTAGACTATAGACTAGACTATAGACTAGACTATAGACTAGACTATCGACTAGACTATAGACTAGACTATAGACTAGACTATAGACTAGACTATAGACTAGACTATAGACTAGACTATCGACTAGACTATAGACTAGACTATAGACTAGACTATAGACTAGACTATAGACTAGACTATAGACTAGACTATAGACTAGACTATAGACTAGACTATAGACTAGACTATAGACTAGACTATAGACTAGACTATAGACTAGACTATAGACTAGACTATAGACTAGACTATAGACTAGACTATAGACTAGACTATAGACTAGACTATAGACTAGACTATAGACTAGACTATAGACTAGACTATAGACTAGACTATAGACTAGACTATAGACTAGACTATAGACTAGACTATAGACTAGACTATAGACTAGACTATAGACTAGACTATAGACTAGACTATAGACTAGACTATAGACTAGACTATAGACTAGACTATAGACTAGACTATAGACTAGACTATAGACTAGACTATAGACTAGACTATAGACTAGACTATAGACTAGACTATAGACTAGACTATAGACTAGACTATAGACTAGACTATAGACTAGACTACAGACTAGACTATAGACTAGACTATAGACTAGACTATAGACTAGACTATAGACTAGACTATAGACTAGACTATAGACTAGACTATAGACTAGACTATAGACTAGACTATAGACCAGACTATAGACCCGACTATAGATCAGACTATAGACCACACTATAGATTAGACTATAGATTAGACTATAGACTAGACTCTATAATCGACTCTAGAATAGACTATAGGACTACTTACTGAAAGTTTATAAGTCAGAAAAAGTTTATAAAATATCGTGGAGGTACGGCTGTATTTTTCGATATCAAAAAGTACTAAAGTACTGATTTTTCCATGCCTGTTTGTAGGCACAACGTAACATCTCATATTACTGTTAAGGAAACGTGGAGCCCCCATAGTTAGAAAATATTATATTATATATAATTGCCCATCAAAAGTAAATATATATACTTAATATTTTATTTAAAAATATACATTTTCTTGCAAACACCCGTCCTCACATCACTCATACCACCCGTATGGCAATAATTTTAATTACGAAATACAAACAAATAAAACACCAGTCGTTTCGGTTGCATTTATTTAATTTTTTTACTATTTACTTTTTCTTCTAGAAATTTATAACAATTTTATACATTTATTTCTTTGTTTTCTTATTTTCCTACTGTTTATTACTGTTGTTTTTTTAATGCGATCAACAGCAACAATTGTCAAAACAAAAATTAATTTTATTTATTATTTGTTTGTTTTTATTTTTTATTACTTTTTTGCTCTTAAGTTAATAAATTAAACAAATTGAAGCTGTACTTTAAGGCTAAATGGAAAATTTCATTTTATTTAACATGTCTATAAAAATTTTAATAAAATTTCTATTGTATTCAATAATTTTCAAAGGTTTAATAAACATGTCTAAATAGAAAATTTGTTAAACGTTTTTTCCGCCATTAAATGTGTTAATTAGAAAATTTTCCACTCAAAAAAAAAAAAATAAATAAAGCGAAAATATTTTGAAAAACAGAAATTCGCATATATTTGTGAAAATTTCAAATTAAACTGGAAGTGTGATATTTAACAGCCAATAGAATTGAGAAAAAAATGTGTTTAATCGAAAAATCAAAACAAAAATCAATAACGATAATAATGTTTATAATACAAGAGAGTAATTAGAAAAATTAGCAGAATTAATAAATATTTGTTTGATCAAAGAATCAAAATAAATGCTTTAAAAGATTTTGTAAAATATGCGAAAAACTTAGACTCAGAGGCAACTGAGTAAATCTCTCTCTTTTAATATAATCCTGTTATAAATTTTCAAAACTTTTCTGTTTTACCTTTGACCTTGATTTTTTAAAGTTCAAAGAAAAACTAAACAAAATAAAGAATTTTTTTAGGCTTAACATTTAAATTATGACTAATCATGCGCTAACTTTATCACATTTTTATAACAAACTAAAATTTATACAGAATCATAAAGTAATTTTTACAATATATTAAAAAGATTAAAATGATAAAGTTTAAACATAAAAGTATGAGTACAAAATTTAATATTAAATTTTTTTTTCATAAAAATTTATCTCCTGGAAGATCTTACAAATTCTCAAAACTTTTTTAATAAATTAAAATAATATGAAATTTTACGTTATAGTTACGAAAGTTTCGTTATTATTATTATTGAAATACATTAGTACGATAACGTTTAAAAATCATGCTAACACTTGTCACAACCGGTGGGGCTCTCTTATCCGAGAAGTCTTAACCGAGTACAACTAAGAACTAACCCTCCCTCCTCTTTCTAGCGTGCGTTTCCCCTAGCTGCTAGAGACAACCCACTCTATATCCTTTTCACAAGGATACAGTGTTTAGTTTCTGCTGGCATCATGAGGTCATTATCCGTCTTCTTGAAGGCTGTCGGCCCACTACCACCACTCATAAACCAACAGCGTCTGTCCTCATAATGAGTGGCTTGTTGGTCTGCATTTGTCTCCAGAGCAATTCCTTAGTAGGCATTAAATACGACTATTTTTCCGATTACATGTCCAAAAATAAATCATGCCCTTTGTAACCGGTAAAGGGCTTAAATAATCTCCAGAGTCCCGACTACTACAGCGTCCGTTTAAGACTGTAGTATGTCGTCTACTACTGCAGCCTCGTTTAGTGAGTGGTAGCGCCATGTTCTACTAAACGTTCTGCTACTAGTGCGCCAAAAACAAAATCGTGTAAGTCGGTAGACAGTCGAAATCCGAACTTATGCAGTATGGTTCTTTAGCATCTGGTATCTTTAAGTCTTACATGGTCCTGACACGATCTTATCTAGTCGAATCTTCGTTACGGATTCAGCCCAGTCTCATCTGTGCCAACAGTTAAGCAAGATGAGCACACGAAATATTATTCTTTTCTCTATTCTCCTTGGTGCCCTTCCGCCTATAAAATCATTAATCGGCTTGGTGCTAAGCCGGTGAGCTCACAGATCTACAATGGTCAAAACTCCACATTGAGACGATAAAAGGTCCCCCGGCGAAGGCTGATATACCTACCTAAACGGAAGTCATCCGAAGCAGCGCCTAAACGGCAGCTATCTGAGCTGTCTTCCGAGATCCAAGAATTATAATACACGGAATCTACACAGGTCGTATAGTGAAATCGCCAAAATCCATTTTTCAATAAATTTTAAATTAATAAATTTTAAATTTTTTGAAAATTTAGAAAAAAATTAAGAAAATTTTGCAAAATTTAAGAAAATTTGGCAATTTTATAATTTTGATTAAATATTTATTGCTTAAAAATACTTTTATCTTGCGTATATATATTTATTTTTAAAATCGGCCTCATTAATATGTATTTGCTATTTTCAAAATAAAAGTAATTAGTTTTTCCAAACATTAGCATAAGATGAATACAGGATATATAATCTCCAGCAATAAAATGTGCTACAATTTTATAGTCTCCTTCAATATCAAATGCCGCTATATTATTAAGTTCAACACGATTTTCCAAGTTATCAAATCTATAAACAGTCTAAAAAGTTTGAATTTAAAAAAAAAAATACGAAAAATATTTGCTTAATAAACTTACTCCTTTCTTCGGTGGACAAATACGATCTTCTTCTCTTATTTGTTCGGTTAACGGATACCAAAATTCCACTGGATCAATGCCGAAGCACAAAAATCATCACGTCTTATGGAATACACAGTTTTTCCCATCTACCACGTTTCCACATAAAAATTTCCATATCTAACTAAAGTATTTTTCATTCTTCAATTAAGCTAAAGTTTCTTAATTAATAATAAAATTAATATTTACCGCTAATTGAATACCATATGGTATATCAACTTTCATAGTTATATTACCATTCGTTATTAAAGTTTCCATATCCTCATCAAAGTCGTGTCTCAAATTTAGTTCCAAAAAATTATCCACATTCGTAGCGACTGCGTTATCTTCAGGGCTGCATGATTGAATGAAACTTTTTTCATCGGCAAATACTAGGTAATTGTTTTTATTGGCCGTCAAAGGAGGAACGCTCTATAACTATTATTATTAAGAAAACATCCTTTGTTAAACATTTAAACTTACCCAACAATAATTTGTTATTAATAAAATAATTAAAAATTTCAAATAATTCAACATTCTGCAGTATCAAGTTGCAATTTTTGTTAATTTTAAACTAGTGCTAAATATTTACTAATTACTATTTCATTTATATTGAAATATTATTAGTTGGAGTACTACAATTAGTGATAGTAATTAAAATATAATTATTTGTAGATGATAAATCAATATCTATTTTTATTTTTATAAAATAGTATAATAAAATAAAAGTGAAAATAAACAGCAGCAAACTGATTGTAAAACATTTAATTTGATTTGTTAGTATGTATCTGTAATGTTTAATAATTAAAATATTTAATTGTTTAAAGCATGCCAATTTCACACCTAACTATTTCCGTATTTAAATTAGGGATCGCATGTATTATTTAGAATAGCAAAATTACAAAATTTCCTAAACGTAACTAGTTATGTAGAAGATTTATATGTATCTATCAATAATTTAAAGTTTCGAAAATGTTAAATCAAATTTTTCGATATTTTTTCCGATTCCAGCGCTGCAAACAAAGAAAACCCGTTTTCGTACTCGGAATGAAACTATTAATCTGTTTACATTAATGCAAAGAAAAATTTTCATTAAAATTTCGAAAATTTTAAATTGAATTTTTCGATATTTTTACAATTTTAGCGCTACATTCAAAGAAAAACGTTTCATAGTGTGAATAAAACTATTAAATGTTTACATTAATGCAAAGAAAAGTTTCATTAAAGTTTCGAAAATGTTAAATCGTATTTTTCGATATTTTTTTCAATATTAGCGATATATTTAAAGAAAAACATTTCATAGTCGGAATGAAACAATTAAACTGTTTACATTAATGCAAAGAAAAGTTCATTAATAATAAGAAATTTTATCTTATAGTTACAATTACATTTCAAATCAAATATCTAACTTTTCGATATTTTCGATAAAAAATAAAAAAAATTTCCGAAAAATTCTTTTTGATTAAAAAATTTTCAATAAAATTTCAACAAATATTCGACAAATATTTTTTACTTGCGATTTTCAAAAGTTTTCAAAATACTCTTGGCTTAAAAATTAAAAATATTGAAATTTTCGATATTTTAATAATTTTTAAATTGAAAATTTTCAATAAATTTCTTATTTTCCAAAAACTTTTAATAAATTCTAATTATTTATTTCTGATTTTTGCTAAATTATCTTTATTTCGAAAGTTTTTAATAAATTTTTAGTAAAAAAATAAAAAAAATAAAATTTTTCTTTTGATTTGAAGATTTTCAATATATTTTTAATTTATTTTTAAATTTTCGACTAAATGTATTTTTTTATAAATTCTGTACTTGCTGAAAATTAAGAAAAAATCTATTTTTTAATTATTTCGATATTTTCCATTTAGTTTGAAAAATTTCAAAATTTTCTAAAATTCTCCTTATTTGCAATAATATTTTTTCAAATTAAAAAAATTTGAGAAATTTTTTCAAAAATTAGTACAGATTTAATCAATATTTATTGGTTGAAAATACTTATAAATATGTAAGTATATTTAATTCTAAACTAAAAGTTCCCTTTTTAAATCACATATTCTAATATATATATTCATTTAAATTTTTCCCAAAAATAAAAAAAAAAATCAATTAGTTTTTCCAAACAGTAACAAGAGCCGTAATACAGGACGAAAAGTTGGCCGCAACAAAAATGTGATATAATTTTATAGTCCCCTTCTATATCTAATCCAAAAGCATTATTAAATTCAACACGATTTTCCACATTATTCAGATGGTACACTGTCTACAAATATTTGCATATAATTTCAAATTATTTAAATATTATCAAGTAAATAGTTTAATATACTCACTCCTTTCTGCGGTGGACAAACGCGATCTTCTTGTGCCATTTGATTTGTCAATATATACCAAAATTCCGCTGGATCAAATGCAGCAGTACAGAAATCATCACGTCTTATAGAATATACAGTTTTCTCCCATTTACCACGTTTCCAATGAAAAATTTCCACATCTAACTAAAGTTTTTTTATTCTCAAAATTATTATCTTTGATTTCTATATAATTATATATTTACCTCTATCGTAACACCTTCGGGTATACCAACTTTTGTCGTTATATTACCATTTGTAATTAAAGTTTCCATATCTTCAGCAAAGTCATGTTTCAAATTAAGTTCTAACAAATCTTCCATATTCGTATTGCCAGCATTATCCTCAGGACTACATGGTTGAAAGAAGCTATTTTCATCGGCCACAATAATGTAATTGTTTCCCTTGGTGTATATTTTTTTAGTTAAAAAGTTAATTTTTAATAGTTAAAATTTTAAACTTACCCAACTATGTTTTGTTAATAATAAAATAATTACAAATTTCAAATTATTAAACATTTTCCACCCACAAATTGCACGGTAGTTGGAAGTTGTGTTATTTTTAAACTTGTGCTAAATATTTGCTAATTATTATTTAATTTATATTGAAATATTATTAGTTTGAGTTCAATTAGTGGCAGCAATTAAACTACATATAATTATTTGTAGATTCAAATCAATATCTATTTTGTACTTTTTCAAAGGGTGCAATAAAACAAAAGTAATAATAAAACACAGCGAACTAATTGTTAAACGTTTAATTTGATTTGTTAGAATTAATATTATTAAAGCTTGCCAATTTCACACCTACATACATATATATTTCTGTATTTACACTGGTAAAATTAATTTGGTTTAAAATATTAAATAAATTAGTACTCATAACAAACAGAGTACTATAGACTGGACCATAGACCAGACTATGGACTAGACTATAGACTAGATTATAGACTCGACTATAGACTCGACTATATACTAGACTATAGACTAGACTATAGACTAAAATATACTAGACTAGACTATAGACTAGACTATAGACATAGACTAGACTATAGACTAGACTATAGACTAGACTATAGACTAGACTATGACTAGACTATAGACTAGACTAGACTATAGACTAGACTATAGATAGACTAGACTGACTATAGACTAGACTATAGACTAGACTATAGACTAGACTATAGACTAGACTATAGACTAGACTATAGACTAGACTATAGACTAGACTATAGACTAGACTATAGACTAGACTATAGACTAGACTATAGACTAGACTATAGACTAGACTATAGACTAGACTATAGACTAGACTATAGACTAGACTATAGACTAGACTATAGACTAGACTATAGACTAGACTATAGACTAGACTATAGACTAGACTATAGACTAGACTATAGACTAGACTATAGACTAGACTATAGACTAGACTATAGACTAGACTATAGACTAGACTATAGACTAGACTATAGACTAGACTATAGACTAGACTATAGACTAGACTATAGACTAGACTATAGACTAGACTATAGACTAGACTATAGACTAGACTATAGACTAGACTATAGACTAGACTATAGACTAGACTATAGACTAGACTATAGACTAGACTATAGACTAGACTATAGACTAGACTATAGACTAGACTATAGACTAGACTATAGACTAGACTATAGACTAGACTATAGACTAGACTATAGACTAGACTATAGACTAGACTATAGACTAGACTATAGACTAGACTATAGACTAGACTATAGACTAGACTATAGACTAGACTATAGACTAGACTATAGACTAGACTATAGACTAGACTATAGACTAGACTATAGACTAGACTATAGACTAGACTATAGACTAGACTATAGACTAGACTATAGACTAGACTATAGACTAGACTATAGACTAGCTATAGACTATAGCTAGTCTATAGACTAGACTATAGACTAGACTATAGACTAGACTATAGACTAGCTATAGTCTAGACTATAGACTAGACTATAGACTAGACTATAGACTAGACTATAGACTAGACTATAGACTAGACTATAGACTAGACTATAGACTAGACTATAGACTAGTCTATAGTCTAGTCTATAGTCTAGTCTATAGTCTAGTCTGTAGTCTAGTCTATAGTCTAGTCTATAGTCTAGTCTATAGTCTAGTCTATAGTCTAGTCTATAGTCTAGTCTATAGTCTAGTCTATAGTCTAGTTTATAGTCTAGTCTATAGTCTAGTCTATAGTCTAGTCTATAGTCTAGTCTATAGTCTAGTCTATAGTCTAGTCTATAGTCTAGTCTATAGTCTAGTCTATAGTCTAGTCTATAGTCTAGTCTATAGTCTAGTCTATAGTCTAGTCTATAGTCTAGTCTATAGTCTAGTCTATAGTCTAGTCTATAGTCTAGTCTATAGTCTAGTCTATAGTCTAGTCTATAGTCTAGTCTATAGTCTAGTCTATAGTCTAGTCTATAGTCTAGTCTATAGTCTAGTCTATAGTCTAGTCTATAGTCTAGTCTATAGTCTAGTCTATAGTCTAGTCTATAGTCTAGTCTATAGTCTAGTCTATAGTCTAGTCTATAGTCTAGTCTATAGTCTAGTCTATAGTCTAGTCTATAGTCTAGTCTATAGTCTAGTCTATAGTCTAGTCTATAGTCTAGTCTATAGTCTAGTCTATAGTCTAGTCTATAGTCTAGTCTATAGTCTAGTCTATAGTCTAGTCTATAGTCTAGTCTATAGTCTAGTCTATAGTCTAGTCTATATTTTAGTCTATAGTCTAGTCTATAGTCTAGTATATAGTCGAGTCTATAGTCGAGTCTATAATCTAGTCTATAGTCTAGTCCATAGTCTGGTCTATGGTCCAGTCTATAGTACTCTGTTTGTTATGAGTACTAATTTATTTAATTATTTTAAAACAAATTAATTTTACCAGTTAAATACAGAAATATTATGTATGTAGGTGTGAAATTGGCAAGCTTTAATAATATTAATTCTAACAAATCAAATTAAACGTTTAACAATTAGTTCGCTGTTGTTTATTATTACTTTTGTTTTATTGCACCCTTTGAAAAAGTACAAAATAGATATTGATTTGTAATCTACAAATAATTATAGTAGTTTAATTGCTGCCACTAATTGAACTCAAACTAATAATATTTCAATATAAATTAAATAATAATTAGCAAATATTTAGCACAAGTTTAAAAATAACACAACTTCCAACTACCGTGCAATTTGTGGGTGGAAAATGTTTAATAATTTGAAATTTGTAATTATTTTATTATTAACAAAACATAGTTGGGTAAGTTTAAAATTTTAACTATTAAAAATTAAC